TTTGAAAGTCCGTTGCTCACTGGCTCAGAATACATGCACAGACAAACTACGGATCACAGGAGAGGTGGTCTGTGGATCAGCATTGGCTTGTCACCACACCAACCAATGAGAGCATTTGGGGGCGGGCCCAAATATGCTACAGTGATGACAGAAAAATGCAGGAAGGTAGCAAACTCTCACGTGGACCATTTAATTTCTTTAATCTCTTCCAGCCGGTGGATTTGGGGATTCTCCAGAACTGATTAACCGCTGATATATTTATGCGAATAATTGCAGTTAAAAAACAGGTGGTTCTGCTGCTGTCCATGGTGCTGATAAAACTTTCATGGAGAGAGAGTGACTTCACTCTATGCTCATGTAAATATTATTTCTCTATATCTTCATATAGCAAATTGTTTGCTGCTTTATTAATGCTCTGATTGTTATCATTTCACAACAATCACTACTTTGTTTTGTAAGGATCTTAGTGTATGATAATTCCCTTATGAATTATACTCTTGAATGTCTCAAAATGTTCTGCTTTCTATAAGACTCTTTCCCTGTAAATGTGTCTAAATCACAAGGTCTTTATGTGGTTGTTGTCTTTCCCGATTGAGACTATCAAATTATGTGTTTGTGAACCCTTGCACACTTTCTAAGGACAAAGCAACACTTCAGTCACGACTTTGTTTAGAAGAAGTCTAATGAAACATGAAGAGGCAGTTAATTGTCTAAAACTATATTATTGAATTAGAGCAAGAGAAAGACCGGTTCTTTGTTTGAGATGACAACAGAATCCTACAATAAAATTACATAATTCCGTACTGTACAGTTATGTGTCTCAAATATATAGATAAAAGCACTCACAAGTTGCATAATAGGGAGAGTAAATGCTCTGGATCCATCTGCTCATGTAACAAAGCACATAAACTCAAATGCTTTTCCTTCCTCTTAAAACCTTTCTGCATGTTCTCCCTCCCATCTTTTCTCTGTGTAGTCTCCTAATTTCTCATCTTTAGAAGTAGGTCTAACAGCTTTTGGGACGAGCACAGAGACACATTAAAGCATCTGATGCAATGAGTGACTGTGGGAGGAAACTGGCTGCTTTGCACAGTCAGGACGGGTTACACTCTCACTATGTGTGTGTCTGGGGGTGTGGATGCAACCGCATCTCACATGAAAGCATGTCAACACACAGCGTGTTCACAGGGATTCAGCCAGAATATTCCCAACCGCTGGTGCTGGAGACTAAAAATATATTTGGTGCTCTAATTCAACAGAAGATTACTGGGACAGCGGGAGAGGAAAAATGACAGCGCTCTTCAGAAGCCAGTTGCTTCTCTCTGCCTTCGCTTTCTCACTTTCATCTGACATTACGTGTGCAAATGGGGAAAAATGGACGTCAATATGCTCACAAATCAATAAATGCACTTACCAACTAACTGCTGTCAAAAACAACATTGACACTAATGGACCACTCTGACCTGACTGATTGACATTGACACGCACACACACGCACCCCATGCCACTACTAGCCTCCACTCTGGACTGACTGAATTATTGAACAGTAAACAGGAAGAGAGGATTCCACTGGGAAGGTGTGTGTGTGGGTGTGTGTGTGTGTGTGTGTGTGTGTGTGTGTGTGTGTGTGTGTGTGTGTGTGTGTGTGTGTGTGTGTGTGTGTGTGTGTAAGGTTGGGTGGGAGTTGCCCGACGTTTTGTGCTCCTTCACAGCTACATGTCTCATGACATGCATTAACACACATTCACCCACGTTTGGACATGTCTTTTAGTACCATGGAGGGATTACTCTTGCTTGGGTTGTGAAATGATCTCAAAGAGACACAACAAAACCACAAAGAGATGCAACACTACCACAGAGATGCAAAATAACCCAAAACAAACTTTACTGACCTCTTAGACATTCAAAACAAGCCAAATGAAACATCACGAATATATGCAAAATTGCTGCTGAGATTTGCAATAAAAACATTGAGATGGAACACTTCACAGAGACACAACAAGTAACAAAGAAGGACTCAAAAAAAGCTCTCAAAGGGCTTAACTTTAAAATATATTAACCTCAGATATTACTATTCAAAAGGATATATTTACTTCTACATTCTTTTTTTAACCATTTTGAAAAACCTACTTTAACATTTAAAAAAATCCTGTTTCTACTGCTAATTTAGGTCTGGGAGATGATGGTAGTACTGTAACAGGGCACCGTGGCTCCTTCCTCCAGCTGCTGCTGGGGGACCCCGAGGCACAATGGGATGTACAATCCCAGAGTGTGTTCTGTGTCTGCCCACAGGAAACGCTTCCAGTCAAATGTGCTTTCACGTGCATCCAGGATGCCTCTCAATCAGACCCCGAAACCAAATCACCGGGCTGCTCGCAATGCAAAAGACCAGCACTACTGGTCTCTATCTCATGTCTACGATTGGGTGGTGGTAGGAGTTCAATGTTTTTCCATAAGTCATTGTCAATGTGCTAATTAGAGCTTCTCACGGTGCTTCACACCTTATAAACCAGCGATATCTAAAGTACAGATAGCTGTGATACCATCATCTGCTCACACAGCGGCAGGTTTATTGTGTAAACCCACAGATCACCAAAGGGGAAATGTTGGCATCTGGAATGACAGCAGACAACAAAGCTGCGCCTCCGAAGAACAAACCGCCCTCTACTTTCCCTCTTCTTGAGGGTCTGATAAGAGCCGAGAGCCGCAGAGAGACATGAAGGCGTTGTGTGGGCTGCTGGAGAGTGTGGGATAAAAACCATCAAGGTTCCACACAAGAGGAAGAAAAAGAGATGACCACATGCTGCTGGTAAACAGAGATGGTTCACTCGTTTTTTCTTCAACGTCACATGCGGCAGAAATATAATGAAGATATGTTAGAATGGAAGCTGACAAGCTGATATGGATTTGTTGTATAAAACTGTTCCTATTTGACTGGGATATTTAAAGGTGCCACTAGTGCAACAATGCCACTGTAAGCAGATATTTTATTCTGGTACATATTCATGATACATATTTGTGTATTCTTTATGTTGCTTTCAGCCAACTCATCTCAGCGTTTCCAGATCAGATACATGTTGATAAAACACAGATCAGGACACTTAATTCTTAAGCCTTCAAAACTGATACGATTTCCACTTTTTAAATGATTATATATATACTTTCTTTACAGTGGTAAACGAATTGTTTAACTGTAAGGAAACCGTAAGGAAAGTGACTTTCTAGGATTAACAGCTTTGACTTGTGTCCATTTGGGTGTTTTATAACGTTGTCTAATTATTACAGGTCAAAGGCCACTGAACTCGTGTCTATCTGTATACTGCCAAGCACCGAACCCCCGACAGACCAAGATAAGGATAAAATATATGACGTTTCACTGTTTATCACTTTAAAGTAGAAATTTGTCACGAACACAAAGGAGAAACAATGTTTTTGACTTAAAAAAAACAAAAAAAAGATTTTCATCTGCGAAATACTGACTCAAACATCCCATTTGCTTTTTGCAACCTGCACACGCCTGATGCTGGAGCGACTTAACCGTGGCCTCATTTGGAAAAGGCCCAGTTAGGCATCACACACTTCTCTCTCTGTACAAATCCTCAAAAGAAACCCAGGTGATTCAGCCCACACATTTTCCACCTTTACCAAAGATGACTAATCTGTGGTCTCCTCCGCAATAAACCTTCCTCCTCCTCTGCACCGAGACGGCGCTCCCCGCTGCGCCGGCCTCAACCAGCCCTGAACGATCACCCCGGGAGAAACCTGCACGGGTCAATCTTGAACTGCGTTGGTCATGAACCAACAGGTGTTGTGTACAAATTAGTTTAGTTTTTTACAGTTTTCTTTAAAAAAAAAAACATAATTTTACTGCATAATTTTATTTGATCAAGGCTTAAATGCCCTGCTGGTTATCTTTGGATATGTCAGCGTCATCAATGTGATGATAATAACCACGGCGACATCGAAGAGAAGCAATATTGACTCTGTTCGGTCATGACTTTGGTCTAATTGTAAATATGGCAGCAAGGTAAACACATGTTTATCTTAAAATCCATGTCTAAACACAAAAGCATTATAATGCCAGCATCGTTTCAACATGATCGGGGGAAATAGTAATAGGACAAAAACAAACTCAAGGTTACTAATATTGTTGTAATGTAACAACACCGCTGGATAAGGTTCGGGTGTAGAAAGCTCCTCTGTCATCTGTGTGAGAAAAACAATATGGAGTTTCAGGAGAATCTCACTCAGCATCTGCTGAGTAACGAGTGCAGGAAGGAGGAGTAAACAAACACTGGTGAGCAGAGTTCCTGCTCTGACCGGGAGGGAAGTTAAAGTGCAATCAGGTGAATCAGTGCGATCCGGGAACAACAGCAGCCCGAGGCGGACGCAGTCCGAATCCCAGACCTCGACCCTCTGCTCGCCCTCCGAGTCTCGCTCTGCAGAGACGGCAGCTATTCTCTTCTATTTGAGGCATTAATTGAAACTTATCAAAACTAAGCGTTTGAAACGCTGTATGAATAATTAATGTATGATTTATCTGACGTATATTTATTAACATTTAAAAAAAAAATCAAAATTAAATGTATATAGCCTTTTCCACCCAATATATCTTTTATTATCCTATTCTATATTTATTGTATACTATTAGGACTGGATATTATCTTTCCACTGAATTGACTTGATACAAAATGGTTTCAAATAATTACATTGAAATAAGTTTGGTTGGGTATGAAAGAGATTAGAACTAATTCTAGTATTATTTATTAGCTATATTGCCCAGTCGTTTTTGTTAATGGTCATCTTAGTACTGACCTTTCATTTAATTAACTGATAGTAGAATCACCCAATTGAAGATCAATTGGAATTGAAAGTACTTTTGGTTAAATCAGAACAATTGTTTAAATTATTTTAGGTAAATATATTAAGTAGATAAAGATTTCTCTCACCATTATACCGTTTTTAAGTAACAAGTGCAAAAACCAACAAGTCAACAGCACCACGAATCAATACGGCATTTATTTATTTCAGAAACTTTTAATACTGTGATCACTGCAAATGTCTTTTTCATACCTTTACATTTTACAAAGACAATGGATCCGAGATGTAAACAGTATTTTCAACTCTGTATAACGAATGGTCCTCTTGAATTAGCGTGCTTCGTCTGATCCCTTTTAATGTTTGGTTTATTCTCCCAACAGGGGGAAACCAAATGGATCCCGACACAGCGATGTAAGCCGTCAACTCTGAGCTTTGTGAACCCCCCCACAACGACACGCAGCCCACTCTGGTCTGTTCAGTGATGCATGAGGGCAAATAAAAGAAGGGGTTCTGAATAGAGTCTCACTTCTTCGCTCTTTGTCAGGAAACTGCATCGGCAGGAAAACAACAGAGTGACATCAAGACACGACGGCACAGGAACGGATCGATTCACCCTTCTTATCCAAACCCTGTCGACACAAGGATTTTTATAAAACATTGTGCAAAGGGTTCTTTAGAATAAAAGAGATTACAAAATGAAACAGAACATTCACATTTTCCCATATGCCTCAGAAAAGCACCAAAAACAAAGCGGAGGAAAGAATCCAAAATATACGCACTGTAAAATAATCTATCGTTGACACTGGAGTAACTAGTGTGTGTGTGTGTGTGTGTGTGTGTTTGAATAAAGTGTGTAACTAATCTAATCTAGATGCACACGTTTAAAGATGCGAGCAAAAACATCTGCACAGCACAGTTTGTCATTTTGGCCATACTTCATTTGGAATACAAAAAACTAGAGCACTTTCCATGTACAATAAAATACGAAACATTATCTATCAGTTATTATTGAAGCATCGACATACTGTAGTTTCGGTAAGGAAACCAGTGCTCAGAACAATTTACAGTCAAAACCTGGATTTAGAAACACTTCTGCCAATACAAGTTATATTTTCTGTATCATTTTGAGGATTTCACATTATTGGATGACTATTACACTGCTTTACGCAACTGGCCAACTTGTTAAAACCACCCAATCAAATCATCAAGGGCAACATTTAAGCGCTTGACTTTAGTGTATTCTAATCCAAGAGATTCTTAAAACAGAACCGTTCACGTAAATTGTTAAGACTTCACCGATCTCCCTGCAAAACTGCAGAGCCGAGTGTCCGTTATAGTAAACATTTTACCTTCAGCCTTTTCTATATTCTCTCTACATTCAGACCGGGGGCTGCTTGTGCTTTTTTCTGCAGGGGTTTTAATTGCAGATTCATGATGCAAACATCTCTTTCATTGGAAGGGGAACGGAATTAAGGCTTACAGCAAGCATGTGAACGAGAGTTTCAACGTGCGTGCTCAAGTTAAGCGACCTGAAATGACCCCAAATAGCTTCGTGGCTTCTGCTTGGGTGGCAAGTAGCTTTTATGGGTTTCAGGGAATATTTTTTTCTGATACGCTCTTATCACAGGGGCCCTGAAAGACACACTGCATGCAACTGAATGCAAAAGGCGCACAAACACACACACGTCGCCATACACTACTCGGCGCTGTGTCAGATCCCCCCCCCCACGTGCAAACTTTTACGAGGTCTACAACTATGAGTATTTAAAACTAACGTGTGTGTGTGTGTGTGTGTGTATAACCATGCGTGTTTATTTTTCAGGATGAAGAAGAAGCCTTTCCCTTCCATCCGTTCCCCAGGTGCTGTTTCAAAGGCACGTCCCTGCTCTGCCTGGGAGGAAATGACCTAAATAAATGACTATAGGCACGACTGAATACACCGATGAACATTCAAACAATGATACAACGGTACTGCAGCTCCTTCTGATCAACGGCTTATTATCTAATCAGGTACGTCGTTTTTATTTTCCCCAACATGTACTGGACCTGAGGAAAATCTGTACATGTTGAAATGTAAAACACACCCGCTTACATACAAGCACACCGTGGTTCTGCCCCTTTTATCCCCCCACCCCCCCAAAAAAATCTACCTTTGATTGTCACCCAAAGCAGGTTTCTGGTTTCCTTCCTGATTGGTGTACGCGTGGCCTCTCGGTCCGTGTCTGACTGATTGATTGTTGGATCGGCGTGGGATTATTTACAGGGTGACTGGCAGCACATTTAATAATCATGACATTTCCACTGGGCATCACTAGAGGGCACTGTAAGCAACACGACAGCAGGCTGGAGCACTACAAAATACAACATAACACAGAATTAAAAGCATATAGTCCGACTATAGCCAGAATTAAGAAAGAAAGCCATTTAAATAATATCGCTAGTGACCATTTTCTTGAGGAACTAAACACTGATGTCAGTTTTATTGTACGAATAGAACAAATTATTTATTGGAATTATAATACAAGGAAATAAATTAACCTGGGGGGGGGGGGAAAGGTCCCTTCTTACTTTTCCCTCCCCCAAAAAATGTCTCTGTCATTGCAGACAGTGGGATGCGAGTGGAGTCCTCTTTCCTTTTTCCTCAACGCACGGTGCTCACTGCTTCAATGGAAGATAAGAGACCGGCGTCTTTTCTGCGTGACCTTAAAAACATCTTCCCGAGAGCAAACTTTCGCTTTTTTTTGTTGAGAGAGACATGACTTCTTCCTACCGTTTTTTAAGACACATATAATTGGGATGGACCAAAGCACTCTGGATATCAGTCACGTTCAATGGCATCTCTTGCCGATGGCTTATAAATATACTCCTCTGCCAGGTGTTGGTTTGTGCTGTAGAGACCAGCAGCAGGATGCTCCAGATCCAGATATAAGTGACACGGAGGAGAGAAAAATATAATAAAACCTGTACAAATCCATTTTTCTCATCCCGTTCAGACTGGCGTCAAGCTGCTTCCATGTCAGCGGGCTGTAGACGGCCACAGTTGCGGATTTGAGGACAGGAAACACCACAATTTGTTTACACTCCACTCACACGTGAAGGGGACGAAAACATCTTCTGTTCGGTCTTGAGGCTTCAGATCCGTCGTGGATCGCCTGGCCGGACCGGCAGCTTTTGTCGCAGTCACGTCTTTGCGTGCCATTTCGGAGACGTCTTCTCTTAAGTCACTGGGCAGTCGTCTACCCTCTGCTGGGGCGGGTTAGGTTTGGCGTTAAAGACTCATGACACCTTTTAGGGGAAGCTGAGCAAAAACACAAAAAAAAGGGACAGAGAGGTAAAGGCCGGGTATGAACTGCGGGTTGCCCCTAAAGTGAAGCACATCCACTGAGAAGGCCTGGCATGGCAGGGGGGGGTGGTCTGGTGATATTTTGTGTTCACGTCGAGGCAAAGCGGACTTTTCCAGAGAGAGAACGGAGGGCGAAGAGATTCATTTCTGTTGGCAATTTTGGGGGGGGAAAAAAAACGCTTTTGGCACAGCGAGACGAAAGAAAGATCAATTCAGCACGGCGGTGCTATTGGAGAGTGGAGGTCAGTCCTTTGTAATTTGATAAACAACACCCATTCTCCTAGAGTCTCGTCCTGAGAAGGTAGATGGTCGGAGGGTTTAGCAGCACCAGGCTGATTGGGAGTCTCACGTTTCCTTGTGCACGGTTTCTTCCCCCTCTGCCCCTCCGTCCAGACTGTGTGCGCGCTGATGTAAGCGAGTGTGTGTGCGTGTGTGTGTGTGTGTACGTGCGAGAGTTGAAATGACCAGGCCGTAGTTAGTTCATGTCGATGGTGTTGAAGACCCACTCGGTGAACTTCTTGAGCTTAGCGGCGGACGTCTGCGACTCCTCCTTGAGTCTCTGGTTGTCGTCCCACAGCCTCTTGATCTGACCCTGAAGTCTCACCTTGTCTTCACGCTCCTGTGCAAGGTGGGGAGAGGTTAGGTAATCAATCGATTAAACAACGGTGCCGCACACCCGAGATTCAACTGAATTTATACGGTCCGTATAAATGTAATAAACACTGTTTGGTGTTTACATAAACATCTCAGCTCTGGAAACTGAGTCTCACTGGACAAAACTTTGAGAGCTTTGTGGGTATTTTATCAGTTGGCACAGACAAGAGGAGGAAAAGTGAATCAGCTGCACGCTGAGCAGCAATTTTGAGGAGGAAAACACTCCATCACTGGGGACATGGCTGGATTGTTAGCCGGGCAACAGACGCAGAGGACCCTTTAGCTTTCAGTCAGCTAGGAATGGTTTTAGGTTTTTTATTGCCATTGTTGTTATACAACTAAATTTTGTTTGGTAGCCCCAAGTCAGACAGCAGCAGTGAACAACAATAAACAATGTACAAGGTACATGATACAATAAACAATGTACAAGGTAATGAGAGACAATACAAGAGAATGAAAAAAGATCCTGATGCTGCTTTTATAGTAGAATTGTCAGAGTAGCGCTTGTGGTAAAACGGGGGGGAGGACACATTGAGCGGTGTTGAACCAATACAAGGTATATAGAAACTATCTAGCTAAACCCTTTTTGCTGACTCTCTTCACAGCTGCAATCTTTTGTGGTTCCTTAAAAAAGGGGGCTGCAATTCATTGTCTTTATTTGACTAGAAAGGGGATTGCAAGAGTAGGTTTACAGGGTTTTTGCAGTATAAATTTGCTCAGATATCTACAAGAATTGTTGAACACTGGCAGGTCAGCATGGCTGAAGATTGCATCTAAATGAAACCAGTCCTTTCCATCCAGGTGTTTTCACGTTAAAATAATAACATGCTTGTTTCTAGGGAAATCAAGTGATAAAGTGATTAAGTGCTCAACAGCTGCCTGTGTATATTATATTGAAGACAGTGTTAATTAACACCATCTGCTCCTTGTTCAACTGTATGCAAATCAACAGTATTCCTTAATGGCTCTGGAATAGTGCAAAACACAGTGTGGATGTTGTAAACATGCAGACAGATGTTCTCTAAAACCAATCAACTAAAAATGTGAAATACAATCATAATGTGTTCGTGCATGTGTGTGCGCACATGTTTTGGTCGGCTCTCCCACCTTCTTCAGGTCCTCCTGCAGCATCTTCACCATGGCCTCCAGCTTGGTGACCTTCCTCTCCAGCCCTATGTGACCCTCGCTATGGATAAGAAAGCAACACATAGACTTACACTAACGAAGAGCAGATAATAACATTCCATTCTGCAGTACTATGAGCATGTTTTACACTACGTGTACCTACTCACAAAGCACATGAAGAAAACAGATTTAGTAAAAAGTTTTGTGAATGTGTCACAGAGCCGAGACTAAGGCTTTTACATTTTTTTTAGATGGATACATTGAAATAGAAGGCAAGGAAACCGTATGTAGAGCGCTTCAGTGCGGGGTTACCTGGAGGAGGGCCGTGACAGGGGCGCAGGCTGCAGCTCTATGTGTGGCTGTTGGGGACTGGACGCCCCGCTGCTTCTGTGGTTTGAATCGCCGAACACATAACTTCTTTGGACTGGAAGCAGGAAAAAATGCACATGTCATGCACAAGTCATGTTAGGCAACCGGCGCACACAATCTGCAACAGATTGTATAGACGATGCCTCTGACTGAAAATATACAGCTGGTAAACCCTTTCATAATGTAAAATACATACATGAGCGGTGTGTAGGACCGCAATGATGACAGTGAGCATCATGATTACTTGATAAAAACTTTAAGCCAGTTAGAAGATGTATCTTACAATACTTTAGAGCTTATTTCAGTAGCTCTTGCCTGTAGGAGAGAAATCCCACAAAATAATTTGTGCATTCTTTTTTTGTAATAGGTAGTACCATAGTGTGTGTTCCTTTCAGTCTCAAAGGTATTGGCCACATCCACCAGATGTGTCCACTCCAGGGGACTGTCTCTGTCTTGAGAGGGGAGGGGCATCAGCTCCTGAGGGAGGGGTCCCCGATGACGCTCCACCAAATCCACCAACGATGTGTCGGATGCCGAAAGGTCACCTGTAAACAATGAATAAGTTGCACAAAGAACAGAATGTAAAACATTTCAAGCCATACAATATGGCCAGAATCCTCTAGAGAAAGAATATGTATAATTTTTATAAATGACCAGTAAGAGAAAACAACCTTTCACAGGGTCATACTTCATACTGCGGTTCTAATGACGCTCCTCAGAACGACATCTCCCTCCCCAAAATTCAGCCTACAGCCTGTTGCTATCCAAAAAGCAGTAGCAAACTGTTGCTGTTAATGGATTGCTACGTCAACGTACTTACAACATCTGGAGTGGCACACCTCTTCTTCTCCTGCACCGTGCATGTATAAATCCCCAGAGAAACCTCTTTTCCATGTGAACACGTTCCAGCTGTTGTATAAATACCACCAACCACCTCCGCCTTACCGTGGAGTTTGACTCCCAGCTTATAGGAGGGCCGTCTGAGGGGAACACCCCGGGTGGTGGGCGAGCGTGGGAGGGTGGAGCAGCTGAAGAGAACATCTGCGGCGAGGGTCGGTTCGGTAATTGAGGAACACAGGGTCGGGAGGCGTTGGCCACGGTAGATGCTCTCGTCCGATAGGGTGCGATGGAGTGAGCGCCGGTGGCTGAGAGGCTGGCTCGATGGGGATTTCTGGCCGTGCTTCACACGATGGGAAAGTGTTATTGTTACAGGGATCCGAAATATGCACCCATTTATATTGTAGATTAAAACTTGTATGAAGGCCACCGGCATCGATACTGCTGCATGTGGGAACGTTCAGTCCTATCCAATAGGTACAACTCACCCACAGAACGATCATTTCTGTATCAATTACTCGCTCCGCTAAATTAAGAGCCTGGAGAACAGGTTCAAAAAGAGGAGAAAGGTCTCCATCCATCCATCCATCCACCTGCACACCGCTTATCCTGCACACAGGGAGGCGGGGGGGTCTGGAGTCTATCCCAGCCAACTTCGGGCGAGAGACGGGATCTCAATGAATTGAATTTAAAAAAGGGTGCCACGTTTGTCAACAGCAAAACTATATAATAAATCTCTCTCAGATAAATCCAAGCGTCTAAACCATAACTAGTACCTAAAATACTTGGGACTCAGGTGTTCGTAAGGATTTGAATATTAGGTGTTGCATAGTTATAGTAATGCAACCCACATTCACTTTAAAAAAATCAATAATTTTCCTTGTGATTTTGTACTCTACGTGGAAGCGTGCCAGAAAAGCTTTTCTTCAAGAAATTCCAAGTAGCAAGGTTGAGTAATTGATACACAAATGTAATTTTTACAAATATAGGTGCTTACACAATTTACAGGAGACTGGATTGAACAAACACAGGTAACTTCTTTCCTCACAACAGTAAAAAAGGATTCACTGAAATACAAAAGCTGTAAAAATAGAAAACTGCTAGCAGCATGTTAGTCACGATAGCACCTGTTCCTAGGCATCTACTTACAGGTTGTTCCTGTAACATAGGTCACACACACCAACCCGCGGACATACCTTTTCCTTATGTCTGCGCGGCTGTGGTGGGCTGTCCGGGGCGCAGTGCCTCTTCACATCTTCCTCCATGGTAGATTTGGCATGAGGCTGCGGCGAGTGCATGTCCCGGAGAGAGGGCCTGGCTGCCGGGGTTGGAGCAACTTCCCCTCCACCCTCTCCCGGAGACTTCCTAATACACAGGGAGATGCGTTCCAGGCGGTGCGGCGTTAATGCATTATCCTTATGCAGAGGTAGCAAAGATGTATTATAAAAAATATGCGGTTGTCAGTTTCAACAGTTGGGCCTACATTAAGCATCGGGTGTAATATGCTCTCCAACCACAAGGGGGTAATGGAGTCGTATGTATATCATTACTACAAAAATACATAAATACGGGGTGGACAAAATGGGATCAAATGCAGGCGTATGAAATATTTCTACCATAGAAACTATCACTAAAAATGTTCCATTTTTGGAGCAGTGTGAACCTTGCACCATCACCTCTGACACGTTCTCAACATAAATGCAACATTATAAGCTTTACATCGGGTATTATTGACTGATTGTTATTGCATTCGAGAATAAATTGCATAGTGCAAGTACTCTTCTTCATCTGTCCAGTCCCTGTGGGAAAAAAACAGGGATAAAAGACTAGGGATTCCCTTCTAAAATAAGAGCTGAAAGTAAACAGAATCATGTGCCATAGTTTTAGACCCACATTGTTTCGTAATTTCTCGCCTGCTCTATCCTTACTTGCGTGTGTCCCCGAAGTCAACAGAATTGATGGTGGAACCGGGTTTCCTCCAGCCAATCAGGTACTTGGACTGAGCTCCTTGGCGGGGGTAGAAGCTCTTGGGCCCAGGGGAGGATGAGGACTGGGAGGAAGGGGAAGTGGCTGAAGAGGAGGATTCCTCTCTCGGGGAGCTGTGGCCTGAATGCCTGGCACTGATGGAAAAGGGAAAGACGAATGAGAGCGTTTTTTACAATATAAGAAAAGCTCCGACCCTGGTACATTCTGCATCTTTAGGCAAGACATGTTTGTTTATGGCCTATCTGGATAAGGAGGAAACACATAATTGAGTGTGGCTGTTAGGGACTGGACGCCCCTAACAGCCACACACAGAACTGCAGCCTCCTCTAGGTAACACCATACTAAAACGCTCTTCACCACTTTTTCACCTGCAGTTGTCAGAGACCTTATTATTCCCCCTTTGCTACTTTGACAGAATACAAATGTATCTAAAATGCTGTCCAGGGCCATAAACCGAAAAAGGACGGATGGAATAAGACTCAAAGAAAACAAACAAATCGCTAGAGTTCTCTCACCTCTAGGCACCAATTCAGCTATGTAAAGGTGAACATGTGCAAATTTACTGAGGCCTAATGTGGAAAAATAAGATTAAAACTGCTCCCGTGCTTATTTTCCACGAAAGTCTTAATGAGAGAGCGAGGTGATCTAGTGTGTGGTCCTCTTGGGTGCAGACATATTGGCCTGAAGAGAATTGGGAACATTCTGCAGAGGTCAAGCAAATGCTAAGATGACGCATGACAAAGTGGGCGAGACCAAATTCGATGAGACTGTCCTCTGCCACTTTTATTAAGGGAGAATTGAGAGAACAGAGAGAGAAAAAGCAAACCAAGTATTCAAATTGACCTTGCCAGTCAACATGTGGTCTCATGCAGATAAACAAACCCCCTCACACACTTAAACGCACACACACACACATACCTGGAGTGTGATCCAGCCTCGCTCAGACTGTAGGTGCTGCTGTCTCTAACCAGGAGATGAGTAGGGGGGCTTCGGCCCGTCCCCTCCAGGCTCCTCTCCGCCGGAGGCCCCGGGGACTCTGCCGCAGCCGGCGACCTCTCCAGCATCCGCCGGCCTCCCTCCGTGGGGCTGTGCCACGGGGACGCCAACCTCTCCCTGCTCTCTCTGCTCTCCCTGCTCTCCCTGCCTCCGCTCGGCGCCAGCAGGGAGGTGGTGCTGCCGTGGTGCGAGTGGGGGTGCGTGTGGTGCGAGGCCCCGTAGGAGCTGGTGTCGATGCCGCTGTCGGCAGACGTCCCCTGCAGGTAGCCTCCCCCGCCCAGTCCGTTGGGCTCCGGCTCACCCTGGTCGCCGCTAGAGCCTCCGCCCGCTCCCATTTCGTACCACTTGTCGCTGTCGCTGTGGCCCCCGCTGGAAGCTGTGCTGGACAGCGTGTTACTGCTGGGAGTGGCCGGAATACGGGCCGTCCGACTGCAGGAAACAAAGGGAAAATCCAAAATGACAGTTTAAACTTTTAGACAACAGTTTGATCTACTTGGATTACAGTTTGCCACGTATGCAAGCGTATATACAGAAGTCATGTGAGCCACAGAAGGAGGCAGAAAAGAGGGGTAAGAAGTGTGAAGCCTGACCTGGCTGCTCTTCTTCGGGGACAGGTGGATGACCTGCTCCTGTCTCTGGATGCGGGGACCTCCAGAGTAGCCTTGACCGGACTTGGAGACTGGGGCCTCTGCAAAGAAATAGGAAAACATAATCAGCTGAGGTTGGCGACAAATACACGCAGAGCCTGCGGTACAAACGGATGACTTAATGATTCAGCAGAGAGGTTGTTCTGCTCTGCGCTCACTTGTGTGTACTTTGCTACTACAGCACTTGTGCTTCCTGGAGGTTCATAACGATGACACCGTTTTCACTCCGACTCGGTGTCCGTGGCACCAAAAACACAACAACACATCTCTCGTCTTCAAAAGTAACACACATCAAAAAGAAATGCGTCCCCAGACAGTTCCTTCTGGCTTTGTTTGTTCGGGCCAAGCTGTTTCGCGTGTGGAAATGAGTGTTTGTGTCCTGAAGGAAAACCTGCGGTGTAAAACTGTTGTGCTGATGTCTGCATGTTATGCAAGAAGACTCACGGAGTAATCAGCTAATGACCAAGACACCTTATGAGGCAAAGCTAAGGGAGGCATTATAACATCTGGTAGGCTGAATCTAGCAACGTAGTGCCACTGCACTCCACTGCATCGTGGCCCATTGGGCTCCCTTCACCAATTAGAGATGCTTGTTCGAGTTCCTGTGCATGTAAACCGCTCAAACTAAAAAAAGCACAACAGATCTCAAATGTTGAGAAAAGATAATGATGGATATCTATACTGATATGGACAGTTTAATGTCTTAGGAACGGAAAAGCCACATCTTTTGATGGAAATTACATGACAGGTCACGACGACCCACTCAAAATAAAGGTTTTAGCGTGCCAATGCCTCCCCATACCATCACTGAGCCACCACCAAACCGCTACTAACTGCTTCTCTCCTGGAATCTGCTCCATGTTCTGGAGATTGTGGAAGACACATCAAATCTCCTTGCAGCGGCACGTGTGGATGTGCCATCCTGACAAGAGTTGGACAATCTGTAGCCTGTAGTGTGACGAAATGGCACATGACAATGACTCTAGCTAAATCTAACACTAGTGGAAAATTAGTGAAAGAGGGAGAAACTTGAATTGGCCTCCACGTGCAAAACCTGTTTTGGAGGTCGTCTCATTGTGCTCTAGTGCACCTGAAATTGATTAACAACCCATTCTGCAACTTACCCGACAGGATTATTATCAAAGTGCAATTGAATTCATGCCATACCCGTATAAAACATTGTTGCTTTAATAGTTTTGGCAGTGTACTGGCAGTGCATGTAACTGCATTTTTGGAGTTTGGTACATTGTTTTTGTCTGATGTGACTGGTCATCCAGATTCGTGGCTATGACAACTTATTTTGCGACGGACCAAAGTGACGTACGTCCCGGCCCCTCAGCTCGGCGTGAACACTTATGAAGGCTTCGCTCAACAAAAAAACAAAAGCACTGTTAAAAAGTAGCTCTGAAGGGGAAGGGAGCAAACTTACTGCCCAACGCATGAATTAAATATAAACCTGCCACAGGATATCAAATGGAAATTTAGGAATTGCTGTGTTAAAAAGATAAGAAAACCCGGGGAAATAATTAATCTAACGGCTGCCGTGGCTCTTCAGAGAGGCACAAGCGACTGGAGCTCACTGCTCGGCTCCAGGTATCGCTGCTCGCAGCCTTGTCAACAATCCACAGTCTGCAGAGGAAAGCAAAAGTAAGTATTCTGTCCTCTGCCTGACTTGAGTTATTTCCGGACAGAGCACGGCCACATCATCATTACTGAGGACTTGACTGGTCAAGGGTTTAAAAATGAAAGGAAAAAAAAAGAAAAAAAGAGGACAGAACCGAACCACAGACACAGCAGACAGTGTAGGGCAGGACAGCTGGCTGACACAGTCGAAGAGCTGGCTCAGCCTGCATTGTTCCACGCTGACCAATAACGACATAAGTGCTACACAAAACCACGAAATTACAGACTTGGGCCTTTCTCGGAGATTGTGGCAGTCAGGAACAGGTTGAGGACACGGTTGAAAGTAGGTTTACAATCAACCAAAGCGATGACATGCTGGGATTCAGAGGGTTGGTGGAGGAGCACGTTGTGTGTTTTTTTTATGGCTTTTCAGAGACCGAGCTGGAAAACAAAAAGGGAAACTCCCGGGAGAAAAAACAACACACTGCATGGGAGAATAGTCGTAATTAAATGAAAGCCAGTGTATAGGACAATAAAAAAGATGAATGAGAGGCCAACAGCGCTCATGGAGAATGAAGAACAGACTGGAGGAAGTTGGGGAAGGAAAGCCACACAGAGAGAAGCTCGGCCAACTGTGATGGCAGGAAATACAGGAATGTCTCCCCTTTAATTTTCTTCTGTATTAAACCTCATAGAATTGTGACAAAAGCCATTAACTTAAATTGAGATCACTATCTATATAATTCCTTCCTTAATAATTATCATTTTCCTTTTTCGGTTTGTCGCCCCGCCTTTTTCTGTGTTTGCAGAGACATCAAGAGCTGCTCAGTGAAGGCAACATAATTCACAGCTTGTGGAAGAGGCGGACGAACAGAGGGGGTGGAAGGAGAGGAAGACTGTGGATGCTGTCAAAGTTGGTATCTCAGCGCCAAAAAACTGTCACTAGCCGATGAGGAGGCACACACAAACGGCATACACACACTGGAATTACCTGTCATTTCAAAGGATATAGTAGTATGATTAATACGAATGATTTGTTTTCTGCCTTCTCTGTCCCTTCCTCCCTCCCCAGCTATTCAAGACGCATTCCACACACAACCGCAGACAAGTGTTTAGAAAACCAGAGTAATTAGCACCTTCCGCTCCTATCAAAGAGAATTTGAGTATTTTTTGACATCTAGCATATTTTCCCATGTTTTTGTATCTAAGTGATCACCATCCGTTCACCATCCCTTGGAGACAAAAAATATAGCAGAATAGGGTTTGAAAAGATACTGCAGTACTGCATTGATTTGAATGTATACTCTCCACTGTTTCTCAATAAATATATTCACCTGTTGACCCTCGTTCAGCCCCTCCCCCTTCCTCCATTCTCGACCAATTGGGAGTGGACTTTCCACTGGAACCGCCCTCTCCAGCCACCTCTCTTCTCTCTGTAGACATTGGAGAGTGCCGGCTCCCAACAAACCTGGTGAATGAGCAAACAGGAAGGAGATCAGCATACTTCAAGTATTCTTCTATTTTTATAAACCGTCTGTATCGACTGATTAAACATGTAGTGCGAGAAATAACAGAGTTTGATAACAATGCAACCGACAACAGGTTGCAGTGGGTGGATATATAAAAAAAGATGTTCTGCCAAGAGCGTTGTAATGTACAAAGACACAAACGCTTCAACCTCCCTGTCCTACACAAACCTATCACGCTGTTACAACTGTGAGAATTACAGAATCAGCCGCGTAGTATAAAACGATTAGTTATTATAGGTGGAAATAAATGATGCTGTCTAAAAATGAAAACTGAGCAATAATGCTCTTTGTAACTCAATAATAATTAACTCTAACTATTACTAATAGTAACTATTCAATCGAGACAACTACAAGAATCTGTATGTGATACTCAAGGACTTTGATGCTTCTGATATGCTTTTCTGATACGATAAATCGACACCTCTCCCCCCGCGTCCTTACTGCTCAGGCATGGACTTCTGTCTCCAGTGGGCGGAGCTTCCGGAGGCGTCGCTGGAACAAGAGAGATTGCTGGGAGAGCTGCGGTTGTGAGGAGAGCGACCCAGCGCCATCGAGGAGGCCAGGCTATAGCTCTCACTGCCCGGAGACATCCTGGTGTACCAACACACACACACACACACACACACACACACACACACACACACACACACACACACACACACACACACACACACACACACACACACACACACACACACAGTAAGAATTGTGGATGGTGGAACTAAAACAAAATTTAAAAAGCACTGCACTTTTAGAGCAAATTGCTTTTAATGCTTCCTTCAGGAGGAAATTCAGTTGCTTGCTACTTCGCAAAAATGCTAGATGAGTAAAATTACAAAAATACTCAACATCTTCTGCTTATAAATATAAACTACATCCCCAATGGCTGCCTTTGCTTTAGAGATTGTTTTTCAACAGTGTTACGGCCGAAATAAGAAACATTTTAAAAAGAGACAAACAAAAAATTGATGATAACTTAGATTTCTTTTCCCGTTTTTCCTGTTGCTTCGGAAGCAAAGCTCACCGCCTCCTTCCAATTTAAATATTACATCACAACCCGTATGTAAAAAGCCTCTAACCGCTTGGTGTCGAGGGGCCGGCCATCACTGCTGACGCTGCGTGGGATGACGGCTCCCCGCTCCAGCCGCTCAGCGGACAAGGTTTTCCCCACCGAGCTTCCCAGACTGATGGCCCGGTTGGGCTGGTGGGGCTGTGGCGAGGCAGTGAGTGACTGCTGGGGGCTGCTGGACGTCCTCTGCCACTTGTTGTTGTTACTGCGGAAGGGAAACTTGTATTCGAAGGAGCCGCTATCGCTGCTGCTGCCCTTGTAATCTGACACAGGCATCCGATAGAGCTCTGAACAGCCTCTGTATGAGAGGAGGAAGGACATTTTGTTCCAGAGGCAAGTGTTGTGTTTGGTTATATAGAGCTTATATAAAACTATATCGTGGCAGGGATGTGTGACTTTTTAAATATCCAATGACCAATACAACAAAGCAGCATCTGTTTATATATGTTATTCGCCGGGAGCTCTAGTAGGCTTTTCGATATCTCTAAGGGTCCGGTGTGCAGGGTTAGGCCATCGGCAGAAATGTAATATGGTATTATTAATTGTGTTTTCAATTATATATGACTGAGAACAATTGATTGACCTCTCCCATCCCCACCTACCTGCGAGGAGTGGCATCATCGTGAGGTGGAATGATTACGACACGGACCGTCACTGAGGTCCGCAGGAGGTCAATCATCTGCTCGTGGGTCAGCGTTGCCACAGCAACTTTGCAGATTTCGACCAATCTGCTTCCCTGTCGCAGGCCTGCCTGCCAGGCGTAACCATATGGCTCCACCTGTTAGGGCAAAAGCGTGATGAGGTTAGAGCGGCATTAGGGAGAAGTTTAATTATCCATTCAGTAACATCCCAGACAGTCTTCACCTAGTTAAAATATTTTTGCTTTCCTATTTTGTGACTGAGTCGCGGATGAGAAATTACCAAATTTGGAATACTGGATTTTTGTTATGTACCTGTACACAAACGTGAACAGATTGTTTCAGTCCATTTTTTACACAGACAGTTACCTCAGCCACGATGCCCTCGTAGTTCACGTGGAAACCCAGTTGCCCCAGGCCATTCCGACGGAGCGTCATCTCGGATGTCTCGCAGCCCTTAGTCAGGAACTGTTTAGAGAGGCAAGAAGCACTGAGATGAATTATCAGGGGAGCGATTACAAGAAAGAACCACAGAAGTCAAGCGTTGAGAAGAGAAGGCGGGACACGGGGAAAGAGGACATTGGACTTTCTCACAGTACAAACTCAAATTTAGGGTGGAGGACGTGGAGGACGTGAGGACGTAGCCACGCGGCCCTTTAACGGTTTACATTTCTCAGGGCCAAACGGATCACTGATCAAACTGCTAAATGCAAATATTCTAGAAAAAAGCCCATCCTTATTCCTGGCTCCTTGTTCACTGAGGTCAGTCACAACTCATCCCTCTCTTTATCTTTATCCATCTGGTACCGGCAGCTTCAGGGCACCTTGCATTTCTTTGTCTGAGCGGGGCAACTCTCCGTTAGTCGAATTCAGAGGCGTGCAATGAATAAATAAATAATGCCGCTGACTGATAAGAAGTGTTATGATGCCCTCTGATGTTTGTGAATGTGGGAGCGGGAGAAGAAGACAGTAAAAGGAAACGGGGGGCGTTGGGAGAGCGGAGAAAGAGAGTCCCAAAAAAAGCAAGTTGCCTGAGGCCACTTCCCCCTCCTCTGGCGGGAGGTAGTCCAAGTGATTGAAGATTAACGCTTGCATAAAATTCAAATGAAAGTGGTTTATTATTGAGTACCAAGCCAAATAACAGTGTGTGTGTGCAAATATGTTTGTATGATGTGAACATATCGACGGTGGACTCCTTCCAGGTTACATAAATGCATGATAAAAAAACGTCACTCAGTTTGAATGTAAGGAGAGCCTGAATGTCAGCTGAATGTATTCTAAAGCACTGACGGTTACATAAGAAAACACCTTTTCTCCAACCAGTTTCCATGGAAACAGCTCAGGAAGATCTAGCTCCACTGTGTGTGTAGGTGTATAAACCATTAGGAGCATGTTGTCCAGTAGTAACTCACTAAATAAGTTAGGACCAGTAATGAGACAGCAGCTTTGGCATGGACACAAAACACGTTTTCCTTCTGGCAGCTGACAATAGCAGTAAATAGTAGGATGGACTGTGGGGGGGCAGGTACATGAGCTAACCGCAGCTTAGTCCATTGAATTGGTTTCTGAGATCCGTGATCTGTACGGATCCTCCTTCACGGTTCGGCACTCATGTGAACCTTGAATCAACTACCCGCTAACGATCAGAGCGTTTAATAAAGTTCTACTGCCAATCCTAGAATATGCGATTCGGGGATTTGCATTTTCATGCTTTCTGTTCTTCAATCCCTAATATGGTTCCATTGTGAACAACTAATGCGAGATGAAAGAGACCGGAGCAGAGCTGGTTAAGTGGCTTAAAGACAAAGAACGAAAGCTGTATGTGATACATCCTTAAAATGACTAATTACAATATCTGTTTTCATCAATAAATATCACAGCATTTAATGTCTGAAAAAAACATCAAATGCAAAAGTAAAACAATGACGTTTAGAATTTTACGGGGATCTCTAAAGGACTGCTCTCTTGTGCTGAAATGATCTAAGATCCTTTGAACTTTTATGCACCACTATTTCTCATGTCCTGCTGACATGAATGAACGTGTGTCGATTCTTTAACATTTATTAACAACCACACGGGCTCCTCGCGTGACGAGTTCCACCCATCTGGTAGGAAATAAGTGTGTTCAAATGGACTAACTCAAATAACTGGATTATCTTTGTCAATTATCAACTGGTCACAATTCGATTTCTGCTCTGAAGTTGCTCTTCAAATATGACGGCGGCAGACAGGAAGTCCAACAAATTAATGTGATTGTGGAAACAGAGCAACTGCTGATTAATTATGTTACAAGCAAGAACGGGTCTGTGTCACCGAGTAGACAGCCAACGACGCATCACAGTTTTGGTGCGAACTAACCTCCAGGCGCTTGACCACCTCCTTGAAGTCCTCCGTGTTATTGCCGACGCTCCTCAGGGACGCACTTTCTCCCCGCTCGTAGAAAATCCGCAAAGACGCCGGGCTGCTCAGCGTCCAGCCGATCACGTCCTTGGTGGCACAGTTAAACACCACCGCCTTGGCCTCCTGGTCCAGCAGGATGAGGAAGTCATTGGAGATGGCCATCAGGGCCTCCAGTTCCCCCCCGGTCCCGTGGTCCTCGACGTGGACCGTCCAGGTCACCGCCCCGGGGCTGCGCAGCTCCGCCCCTCCGTACGAGAGGCTCTTCTCCTTTTTCTTGTGGGCCAGCGAGATGAAGGGGAACTTTCCGGAGGGGTCGATGGGGGTGCTGGTGGTGTGGCGCTCCGCCAGGTCGCGCAGGTACTCCTGGCGCGTCCGCGTCGCCATGGCGCGGAACTTGTTTGACTTGTGCGCGGCGTTTTCTGCGTTGATGACCTTGGCGAGCAGGAAGTCCCGGAACACGGAGGACTTTGGGAAGGTCACGCCTTCTGGGATGGGAGGCCCGAAGGAGGGGACGTCTTTGGAGCGGGTGACAGCCACACTACGGGGAGGGGAGAGGAGGCGGGAGGAGAAAGAAGGAAGAATGGGAGGAGAGATCAAAAGAATTCAATGTTGTGTCACAAATCGGTTCAGATATTATCAAACATGTGGCTTTCAATTCAGTATTTTATGACTAAGCTTAATCTACTTAGAACATTACATCACGTCCATTTTATGAGCCAAAAGAAAAGGCGTCCACAACAAACCGCATGCTGTTTGCTCACTCGAGTACGGCAACATAAAAGTCACAAAGACAAAACCATCAAGGCTGAATTTACAAGTGGAAAAGGAAACAGCAAACAAAGTTTCTTTTCTTTGGTGCAAAAATGATCCTCATGGTTTCTGTATTATCGGATTCAAGTTGTCTGGAACGAGCTCTCTGAAGACACCAAGACCGCAGAGAGCCTTCACATCTTCCGCCACAAACTAAAGACACACCTCTTCAGACTCAACCTCGACTAAAGACTAACAAATTGTAGCACTTAAATTGTACTTGTAACGTCACTCATCTATAGCAAATTGTAAAATGGCTTATTTGAGGAAATTGCACTTTCTTGTTTCTTGTTCTCCTGAGTTTGTACCCTATGGTTGAATGCACTTATTGTATGTCGCTTTGGATAAAAGCGTCCGCTAAATGACATGTAATGTAATGTATTGTCTTTATCTGCCCACGTTCTGTACATGCTAAGTTTAGATAGTTTCTTGCTATTATGTTTAATAAGCCTCATACTGCAGCTTGTGCTTGATTTCCACGTCCTCTACAGCCCCGTTCTCCCTGCTCTCGGCCTGGCTTCTCCAAACCCCCTTTTCCTCTGATTAGGTCTCTGGAATGGCCGTTCCATGTTTTCCCTGTCTGGTATGTCGGGAAGTCAGCTGAGCAGCGACTGAGAGGAAGGCGAGCCAAGGAGGCGGACGAGGGGAGGAAACTTTTCCAAATCTCCGGCCCAAAAGCCCCAGAAAAACCAGGGTGAGGGAAAACGTGGCCTTGAAATGAGGACTGTGTGGGGAAAGTATAGGAAAACAAAAGTACTTATTCTGTTATATGACACAAACAGACTGGCAACCATATGAAAGGGCCTTTTTTTATATATATATATGCGTCTGTACAGAGGCGACCTTTCCTATTCTCAACCTCTTTGTGAACGCATGAGCTCGATCACGCATCCTCTCTCGGGTGATAATTGCTGACGAGCACCGGAAGTCGGCGCCCTCGTCCCCCGCGCTCCCTACCCGCTGACACGCATCAGCACACAACGACTAATTGCTTTGTCTAATAAGCAACTAAAGTCAAAATTTCACCCACATATTTCTAAACATACCTCAGAGACGTGTGGTGTTCAATTATGCTAAACGACAAACTGTTGACACCTCATTCTTCACCTTTCATTGTTTGTGACACACAGAGAAAAGAGAGGAAACATCTTTTGATGGCTGAATCCGCATGGAAAACAGGGACCTTTTTTAGTACAATATCGATAATTGAATGATAATACATTAGGTAAATGCGAATACATCGAAACTGCTTACATTTCGACTGATCTCTCATGGACATAAACAAGTTGGGATGGTAGTGTGCGTATACGTGTGTATTGGGCGAGTAATACCAACATAAACGTTCCTCCCCCTGTTGTCTGAGTTATTTCCAAATAGAGAATAATCCGAACAGTTAAATAAAAATGGCATTTTATTGTCGGTTTACACTCCATCTTGAGGTTAAAATGATTACCTCTACTTCTCTCCAAGTCTGGGAAGCATTGGTATTTTGCATAAAGTGCAGTGGGTAAAAATAATAATCGCTGATAGTGTAAATGTAGGCAGAAATTTAGATTCTGTTATAAGTAGATAAAAATCAGTAGATAAATACAGCTTTTCTGGAAATTCTGGAGACCTTTAAATTCCTTAAGCAGGTGGATGCACATGCTCTTCCAAAGCAACCTATTTGGATGGAGCAGCTCGTAGCCCACAAACAATTATCACAACATTTTGCAGCTCCCCTCTAATCGATTCAATTGAATACACTAAAACTGGCCAGAGATAATAATCAACGTTCCACATCGATGTTGTTTCCTGAAGGAACCGGCAGCTAAACGACACACATTGAACGACAGCCGCCCAGCACAAGACAAACGCACAAGGGCAGCGGCTCTCTGGTGAATAGGGGAGCATTAAAGAAACAACATCTTTCTCAAGGGTTGAAAAACACTGCTCCAAATTAAAGTAATGTTGCTCCGTATGTGCTGAATGTATAAGATTCAGTTTGTCAATCAATTTAAAAAGTGCCCACATGTCAGTGTTGTGTTGTGTTTACGGCTTGTTTATGCTGAGCCAAAGTGTCTAAAAGGGTTAACTAAAAGATAACATTCTGAAGCTTTATACTATTGATAAGAAAAATAAATGTAAGCCGGTGTGATTGCAGCAGGAAATGAGCAGCAATGTTTGATATTGTATGCATATCTTTCAATATTTGAACAAAGCAAAGCTCAGATTAAAAAAACAGAATCCTTTTAACTGTTTTTTCCATTTGTGCATACTAGCATAAGAAATCAAAATGTTTAAACTGACAGCCTGGATACAGTCTAGAGGCAATATTCCCCTCCTTTTCTGTAGATGGCAAATGAACCGTGTCTGGTATTTCACAGAGGACCAGCTGAAGAGGCTGTGAGCAGGCCGCACAAATGGTTGAAAATAAAATGTGACCTTTAATTCGTATTCTTCACCATCTCTAGAAACGTCACTCAATACATCACGCTGGAGCTCTAAAAGCACTCGTACGGGTCTCAAACACCTGTGAGTCAACCAGAGCCCTGTGACTCATGCAGGACGGAGACGGGCGACGCAGAAAGAGGAAGGTAGAGGTGTGAAAGCCAGAGAACAAGACGGGGAGAGAGAGAGAGAGAGAGAGAGAGAGCAAAAAATAACTGAATGACAGTGAAAAAAGGGAGATTGAATGAGAATACAGGGCGGTGGGGATCGCTGTGCCGTGTGATCCTCGTGGCCGGAGGTTTGGCGCTAGAAATGAAAGAGCCCATTCCTGTGGTTTCGTTGATTTGCGGTCTTATAAATATCCAGTGTGTGGGCAGCAAGACTCTTCCAGTATCTAGGACCTGCTTCCCACTGAGGCAGGGGAAGAAAGAGAACATGTCAATACCTATTGGAGTGGGTGGCTAAGAGGTGTGCTGTATGCATGTGTGTGTACATGGGGACTGGGTAGGCTACATATAACATGCTTTGCTATTCATTATTTATAGATCTTTGCGCAGTGGTGGTTTTAGCTCTGGCGCATGCAGTGCTGTGTTCTAGATGTCAGAAATGAGGGAGCGGCCCCTATCTACCAGACGACGTATAGAACGTTGACGCCACACGTTGGGTTCGTCCTCGCTTTGCCGTGGAAATCCTGTTTTTTTACATGACCACAGGCGACACGAGGGGATGGAGCGGAGTGCAACAGAAAGACAATTTTAGGCAAACAAAACGTATTTTACTTTTGTTACTTTGAACAACTAAAAACACAGCCAGAGGGTTCAAGTTCTCAGTTGAAAACACAGAGAATACCGAGCCAGGACTTGTGTCAAAAGTCTCCTCAAAAAACATTTAATGCAATTTGAGTGCTAAAACTGGATAACTATAATCAACATGTGTAAGGAAGTGAGTCATTTCTCACACCAAACAAGACGTGTCCACTGGGAGTCACGTTCAGCGTTACCTCTTTCTATGAGACGCCCGTTTGTCGAGTGCAGTCATAGTCTCACAAGATGCATCTATGTGTAAAAAAATAGAACTGCACTATTTTACAAAGCATATGCAAGCACTCGCAACTGAAGACATCTCTGAATTGTTGCATTGCATTTTTGTTTTTTAACGAATCCAAGAAATACGACAACAATGTGGGCTATGTTTTCCTGACCTCTATGCAAATAAAATACGAACCAAGATACACGCCAAAGCTTCAAAGCATTTAGGTCAAACTTACTTCATACATCGTGACTCAATTCCCCGTGCTCACAACAAATTGGAAATCTACAAACGAAGATATTTATCCTTTGCGGTGTGTGAAATTAGTATTGACTTCAGAAAACCTAATTCACGTTTATGTATTACAGACGCCACGGGTCAACGGTATTTGCTTTATATTCACTTTATTCCTGCGCCCTTTGTTCACGTGTCTGTGTGTGTTTTAGCTCAGTAATGAAGTAGCCCTACAGGGGAAAATTAAGACCTCGCACAATGTGCTCGCACAGCAATTAAAACAGCCATTAGCGGGAGAGAGCGCGAGGAAGAGTCAAAGAGAGCGAGATGAGAGAGAAGGCCAGAAAACTAGATAACAAGACAGAGGCAGGAATAAACGGAACAAAATGTCCTTCACGGCTGAACAGGTAGAAAGTTCATCATTTCTTCAAAAGGACTGAGCAGCAGCGTAGAGAAGGCTCCCCACACTCACAGCCTGCTCTTTAATGGAGTGGTTTGAAGCAACAGCTAAGAGCATTATTATTTCAGCAGTGATAGGAAGGGATTCATGAAAACAAAAATGCATGCATGCTTTCGGGTAAAACAAATTCCAAATGGTCTTATCTGGACTTTTTCTATACACGCTTTCACTACACTGGCATCCATATGAGAGGAGACACTACAAAGCAACCGCCAATTACTAGTGCAACCCCCGCCTTCGGATGAAATGTATTATATTATATATTTTTACAGAGCTGGTTATTAAATGCCAGGAAACTGACAATCTGCAGGCTAATTGTCTTTCTAATTCCATTTTACCACCTGATGAAAATCAGCATGAACCTCTGAATCCAGCACTCATGTAATTTCAAAAGCCATCAGCTGAATAATTTGTCGGTTAATAGGACTTCCTTCCTTGTGTTTTCCAGTCACACAGACACAGTCTCATCTACGATTGTGCTTTAGGGACATCAAAGGTTAAACAATTACACAGATGGGGGAGGCATGATATTGTGAGATAAAAACAGTAATAATTAAATGCAGCTGCAACAATAGAAAATACCCAAAGTAGTGACTCAAGTAAACCTCACCTGTAGGAGCTGTTGTCTGAACATGGATTGTGAGCACGCACAACCACAAAGACGTGCTGGAAGTGCGAGCGGATGTTTTTGGGGGTGAAGGGGAGGGCCCCGGGCTCCTGGAATACGATCGTGACGATATCATTCCCGATGTGACGCTTCCGCAGTAACTAAAAGCGCACAAAGACAGCAGGAGGAGCTGGTTAGATGTTGAGTAATACTAAATAATAGCGTGGGAACACACTTTAAAAGTGTGCGCTGACTTTATCTCTTGCATAATCGAGACAATTGCTACTTGAGCCGCGTGCAGAATGAGTTAAACGATCATCGCGACACATCCTGACGGAGATGTGAAATGCTGCTGTTTACCCACCTGTTGCTTATTGTTGGGCGTGTACGGTAGCATGGTAGACACGTGGAACATGATCTCATAGTCCTTGTAGGTGGTGTACATGGAGTGGGTGCCCGTCGAGTCAGCTGTGGAGAACAAATGCTGCTATTAGACGTATAGAATTGTTTATAACTCGTCCAAGGACATTAACTGAGAACATCAGACAAAAAAAAAAAAAGATTCAAAACATGCGATATGTACCTTTTTCACTCCCATACTATGAACCCAACATTATCCTCATGTTACCGGCCTTCCTCTGCCGCCAATTGTTGTTCAGTTGGCAACGTGTTCCCTGAGATCCCTGCATGTTCATAACCAGCTGCACAGTCTATTGGTGCGCTCTATTCACAGAACCATCACAATGTGTTTAAAAGGCCATACTTAAACTAGCTAGATTAGTTCAATTAATTACACTCCTTCTAATGGGAGTGCTTTGCGTGGCTGCGTTTAATCAACTAGGGTCCACTGAAGGTTGCATTACATGTCTTGCTAGACAACTGAGTGGGAGTTTTTGTCTCACTGAGCATTATGGTGGATTACTTAATTGACATGGGGTTGAATATCAAAGCAGACATCGATCTTGTCTCAAGCCAATGCAGAGATGGGCGGGTCAAAGGAGCGAAGACCAGAATATATTGGCTATCAGTTTCTCCAGTAGAATAATCTGAGACCAGAGGCCATCTGTCACATGTCTGGTATTAAAGGAATGTTTGATGTTAGTGCAGCGCATGCAGAGGACACCAGGGTCAGGAGGGGTTAATGCACACTGGGACTTTGTCACTTGTCACTTTGTCTCTTGTCTGTTACTTGTTTGTTAGTGCACTTTATGCTTAATATTTTTCTTTTTAACTTTTTAATATTTAAAATGTTTTAACTTTATTCCCTTGTTTTATACTAACCCATAGCCTTATTCTACTAACCCATTGCATTAGCATTTCATCCCACTTTATTTTATTACTTGTGCACTGTTGTCTTGTCTGTCTACTGTCGCGCACTAACCGCCAAGACAAATTCCTTGTATGTTTGACATATTTTGGCTAATAAATGTTTCCTGATTCCTGATTCCTGACTTTGGGGCAGCAGTGCATGTACTAAAGGCGTAGTGCTGTAGGCTGTGCACCTTTAATGTGCACACATGATTATTTTGCCCACAATGAGGCGGAAAAACCTCTTTAAGTACTTTTTATTCTTAATTCATGTAATAGTTTGAAATCCTCCCGCAGTGTGCGTCCATCAACCCGCTCAAGGTGTTACCAGAGTATTGGTAGGACAACTTGGGATTCCTCTACATGTACGTACTTTTGGCGTCGAGCTGGGCCCGGTACTTGGTGAAGCCTTTGAGTCGGACCCTCTCGCCCAGCAGATGCAGGAACTCCTCCAGGGCAGGACCAGCCGACTCATTGTTGTACATCTCCTCCTCGCTGCTCTGACCCGCCATGCAGTACATCACCCCAACTTTCCGCTGGAAGCTCAACTGTAAACAGAACATTGTTGCAAGGTGAAGGTGGTGGGTGGGGTGGAGTGGGAGGAGCGTACAACACTGTGTAGAAATAATGTCGGCGTAGCCATGTTGACATTTTGAGAATTTGGGCTTTTGATGATTGCATAGTGACAGCGAGTGTCAGAGTGGCTCTTGTTCTGTATTATTCTCCTATTTGTGTGTGTGTGTAATAGGGCTGTCAAAATTGCTCAAAAAGGACGTTCGAATATACGCTTTAAAAAAAGACAGATTATCGACTATATGGTTGTGCATTAGGCACCTCAATAACAGGACAAATTTATATAACGAGACATAAATAAATTCCCTATACAAGTAGTTAAGTTAAACCTATTTAACAACATATTACCTGCACAAAAATAAGTAAATGAACTAATGGCCAAGACCGCAGATCTCTTTCTCTCTCTCTCTCTCTCACCGTCGCGCTCTCTGCGCAAAGCGGTTTAAATGAACGACAACAATAAACAAAGGCTGAGTGCTGATCAAGAGTTTTGTGTAAGCAATTTGAGGTCACTATTCTTGTCCCACATACTGTATGTCAGGCTTCATTCAGTGATTGAAACTGAAGGTTTTACAGTACCGACATTGAACGCTCTGAGCGAGCTGTGCTGTAAACACGCAACTTTTCCTTGGCATGAAACGGAAAATAATCAATCCAGTGCACGAAGCTGTTGTAGCCTGTTTAGTCAGTTTTATTCATGCAACATACAGTCAGTAGTCAGGCGCGCGCCCACCTACTAAGCAGACGCGGCGCCGGTTTTTGCTTTGTTTTTTGTTTGTTTTTTACATACAAATATTAGTTTTCAACAACTATTCGAATATATATTCGAATATAGAATATTCGTTGACAGCCCTAGTGTGCAATGACATGAAGGAGTTTCTTTACTTAAATTATTAAGTATAAACAAAAATATCTATCTATCTATCTATATATACTGGTGTCCTCTGGCTATATATATATATATATATATATATATTCGTACAGGATAATGTCAAGGAAACGTGTGTCTTTAATTAAAAAATAATTAATTATGTTGAGTGGATTGTATTTATTAAGATCAAAAGAATAAACCAAATCAACCGTGTCCACTCACCCCCTGCTCGTCCAGCTTCATTAGCTGCTCAGTGACCTTTGGTGTGTTGAGCGCCAGGCGGAGGCAGTGCACGTTGAGCTCCGGCACCAGGAACTCCAGCACCTCTTTGAGGGGCAAGCCTCGAGCGAGACCGTGCTTCGAAGTGGACGGCACTGCGTCTTCCAGGATGGAGCCCCTCAGGGTGTTCAGCTGGAGACAGGGCACCCAGAAGGCGAGGGAAAAGATTAAAGACCGCACATGGTTTTGTGAGTTGTTTTACACGGTTGTGTTTTTAGAGCGGTGGTTCTCCAATCGGGAGGAGGTGTACCCCATTCGGGTAAGTGAAGGCACTCTGTGGGGCGCGTGAGATTCAAAACATATATAATTGGAATTATATACCATTGTTATCAATGATTTGATTGAACCTGGCACAAGCCACCCATCATTAACTGTCAACCGCTGCCACCTTGAAAAGGAGGATGGAGTCGAGGTTGAAGCGCGGCGGCGAGGCTGCAGATTGCACGGAGGGTCGAGTGCCAAGGAAGGCAAACAAGAGCCGGCAAAATTCCATCGGTATTCAGAAGAATATGTTTTGATGGGATCTACGTCGACGAGTTGCAACACACCCACGTTTTTTCATTTCTGTGGGTGTAAAATATCAAACTTATTTTTTTACGAGGCTTGATTTCACTTATTGCCTCCTCATCTATGTTTTCTACTGTGGGCGGAAACCATCAGCAAGGACTTTCATGCTTGGCAGCTCTACCTTGGAAGAGAGACTTTAAATATCCTGGTTAGTCAAAAATGCTTCTAAAGAAAATCCACTGAGGTACTATAAAAAGGTGTGATGACGAGGACATAACGGCTGAAGCAGTCAACTATTAACAAAATGTGTTTTTCTCCATTGATCAGAATAAAACTCTTTCTCTTATAAGAGCTACTGAATTAAAACATTTTAGAAAGCTCCCCAGAATCCATCACACTGGAGTATTGCAGATTCTTGGTCACAATAAAAGAACCAGATTTAGTCTGGCTCAGTTGTTTTGCGGTGCCTCCCATTCAGCTCAGAAAGCCATCAGAAGCAAACTAGTAAGTCTATGTTTGGAAACTGCACGAAAGCCTGTTATGAGGCCTAAAGGCCTGTGTAATTATATTCAAATTACAGCATAAGGCGGCTCTTTTTGAAACACGATCATGGCCATTGATAAACAATGGGCTCAAAATCTACATTTATCCCGTAAAAATCCTGGATAAAAAAAGGGTTGTGGCACTTCATTCTGTGCTTATGCAGGTAAAGCGTCTGCGTAAGAACCCATGCAGTTCTTTAATAAGGGAAACTCCTGCTCGAGGAAAACTCAGAGGACATCCATGAATAAATCAAGAGGACAGTGAAAGGACTAGGACCTAAATATCCATCAGGAACAGCTGGTTATCCGAAGTGGGCCGGAGGCTTTTAAGAATCGCTTGTGTGTGCTGTGCGTCTCACCGTAGCGCTCAGTATGCTGAAGGTCGTTGCCAACAAGTTACAACAAATTCAAGAGAAGTACTCTCCCTTGGGAGAGGACAATAGCCGTCCTTAGTGGACACTGGACAAATCTCCTCAACATCAGCGCATGCCACGCACTCCCACAAAAGGCAGATCTACACCTGCCCAGCTCCCTTTTCTGAAAATAGCAATAGAAGAGAAAAGGACAACATGCACAGTAGGTCGTGCGTCATCCCAAGTGATTGGATGGTGCTCTTAATGCAAGAGCGACGATTTTTCTTCTCTACGAGAATACGTTTGGAGCTATTTTAGTTTAATTTATCTTTGAAATGGCACAGCTCAGTCCTTCACAGATGAAAGCCGACAAAGATGGTAGGTGGGCGTTCAGCTCAGAGAACGATGACATGGATCTCTGGCTCTAGTGTCTATAAGGAGGGGAAGGCAGCAAAGCCCAGAGGTGTTCACACAAGCTTTCCGATGGCTGCGAACTGTACATTGAGTGTTGTGAATGAACAGAAATGTAATCGAAAACGTACAATAATTTGAGGCGGCGTTAAGGAATGGAGGCGGATGCATCTAAAATCTTGAGCTCGAAGCTTTTATAAAGTCTCCCTCCAACTGTGTTTTTCAGTCAGCAGGGATATGGTATGTTACTCCTACACAATTTGAACTCTTAAGACCGTCTTAGTAACATCGCTCAGTACAGAGTGTGTCTGTAACTACTGACAACTGTGAACGGCTACAAATATGATATATGCTGGTGAGTAGATCATCACATTACACAACAATCAAGCCAGTAAAAACATATATATGTGTGTGCGTTTGTATTTCCTGATTTGTCACGGTCAGATGTCTGTTAGGCCATCGCAGTCCTCCAGTCTGCTTTACAAATATGCTATAAAATATGCTACCTTACTCTCATCTGGACTGGAAAATCAATTAATAACGCAAGAGCATTTGGAGGTTAAAATGACTACAACTGAATTCTCCCTGTAACCTTTGGGAAATGCAAACGTGTAAAGTGTAAATTCATTCATTCATTTACGAATTACACTCTCTTTTTCTCCGTCTTAAAATAGTCACTATTGACAGAAAGAAGAAACGCATCAGTATCGCAGTTGACTGTCCATTATATTGTACCTCACTGGTTCTGAAGATGACCCTGTAGTTATACTGCTGGCCATGCTCCTTATGTTCGTCCAATTTCTCCCTCCTCAGACTCACTGCCACTGGGCCCAGGTTCTCGTCCACGCCCAGATAGTTCCAGTGTTCTAGGGGTGAAGAGGATTAAGATTCGAGGCAAGGATGAACAGATAACAAAATTATGCAAATGAGAAATTACAGAAGTGAAGCGAACTCAGGAAATTGACGACTTTGTGTCGCTCCACTAGTCTAGTGAATGAATGGTGTAAAATACTGACTGAATAATTACTGTTTGGAATGAATAAATAATCTTTTGCCAATTATCTAAAAGACAGTTGAAGCTTGGCTGCTAGCAAAAAACATCATCATATACAGTAAACAGCATTTAGTAGGAAATGCGGTTTACTCTTATTTTGCTCACCTCTGAGGTAGAAGTACTTTCGGTAGTAATAGGTGCCCAGGTCAACGTGTTCCACGATGTAACGTTTGGACCTGTCAGCATGTTGGCTCGGCCCGTCCTTGGTGACTTCAAGCACTGCCACACCAGCGTTGGTAAAATGATTAGTGAGGATGGCATCCAAAGGTCCTTCCTCTGTACTGCCCGAAGAGTTGCTTGAGCTCCCACCACTTCCTATGCTGCCCGGCTGGGAGGAGGAGGAGGACACGAAATAGTTGACAAAGTGATCAGACATCCAAAAATGTCATATACATATATATATATTAAATCTAATCATCCCTTTCTTGGACAAAACATACCTGTTTAGCAGAAGCGATGTTCCTTTCGCCCTCTCCGCCGATCTCATTTCTGAAACAAGGGCAGCTGAGCACCAGGTTGTTGCTCTTGTCGTCCCCGGGGTCCAGGGCCGGGTTGGTGCCGTGTCCTCCTCCTACGCCCTCTTTGCTCAGCTCCTCCTGTGAGCCACAGGGTGACCCGTACACCCCGCTCTGATTTGAGGAGAGGGAGGACGTGGCCGAAGCAGAGGCGGCAGCGGCCGCCGAGGCCCCGGTAGTGGTGTTCTTGCGCTTGGACCCGGATTGGCGACTATGGATTACCTCATTGAGGTCGAAGAGCAGAGACTGGACATCGAAATGGGCAAAGCCTTTTTGACACGCCCAGGGTTTGGGAGGTGGACCACTGTCATCTCCCTTCCCCCCATCCTCAGCATCTGAGCCGGCTCTCGATGTGTCCCCCTCCACCTTCACACTGCGCAGCTTGCGGAATATCGACTCGCCGCCCGTCTCTGACTTTGACCTCCTCTTCAAGTGCTTCTCTCGCTCCTTCAGCCGACTGGCGGGGCTCCCTCTGGCTGGACCTGAAGGTCCGTCCGGCAGGTCCAGGGCGGCCTGCTTCGTCGGGGCCACGGTGAGCAGCTCCGTTAGCTTCTCCGGAGCTGGGCTTCGCTGGTCGGGGGCCTCAGAGGACTGGTACCCTTTCAGCATGTCGAAGAAGCTCTCCCCCGAAACACCGTGCTTATCTATGGACGAGGTGCTGCCGTACTCGCGGTGCATGGGTGTCCACCCGGAGAAGGACCAGCCCTCATTGCCGTCCACATCCAGCTCACTGATCGTTATGTCACTGTTACTGCGCTGGCGGATGCGCCTCATGCCTTTACGCGGCGAGCCCAGATAGCCATCGGGTGACAGGAAGCGGTTGTCCTTGCCCTTGCTCTGCATCTTGTTCTTGAGAGTGTTGTGGATGTTGCGCAGCATGGACGAGTCCTGCGGGCTTATCAGGTGGCCGAGCTTGGCTGACAGATTGCTGTGGGCTGTGACGGCCGACACCCCCCCTCCTCCTCCTCCTCCTCCTCCTCCACTGCCACCACTCCCACTACCACTCCCGCTACTTCCTCCTCCACCTGGTCCCCCTCCGACAAGTCTTTCTCTATCACCACTCCCTGACCCTGAAGAGCTGGTGGTGTTGGTAGAGCTGGGGGAGTCCGTTTCCACAGTTATGTGCCAAACACCGCCGCCGCCGCCGCCTCCTCCTCCTCCTCCTCCTCCTCCTCCGCCGCCGTCCTTTCTCGGGGGCCAATCAGCCACACGAGCCCGAACCCCCATCTTTGGGACGCCAGGGTTGGAGCCGGCGGTGGTTGAAGAGGAGATGTGGGCGCTCTCACTGCGTGGCGGTGGCGCCCCTCCATTGGGCAGTCGCAGGCGGCGGGTATAGAACTCATCAGAAGCCGGCACTGAGCCCCCGACCGAGCGCTCTGTCTGAGAACGCTTCAGACTGGTCATGATGGAGATGGGAGAGGGGAGATGGGAGGGAAAGGTAGGGATGAGTTGCTGATGGATTTAGTTTCGGGTCAACATTATGCCCACTGAGTGAAGTAACGAGAGAGTCTCACGGATACATTTGGTGCTGCAGAAAAAGAAAAGAAAAAGGAAACATGAATAGGGCATATGGACTAAAAGCAATGGCTGCATTTAATGTAAGTAGGTATCATTTCACAAACACCCTGAAATATATCTTATGAAGGAACAATAAACATTGGGCCCCCCCCCCCACCATTAAAGTTCAAGCTCGACCTTAAGTTTGTATTATTTCTAATTTAAAAAAGGAGATATTCTACCTTTCCGGAGCTGGACCTTGGGTAAAGGAAACGGGTTGATGGTGAACCTTTACAGCGGGTCTCTAAAATGCAGTCTGCATCGCAACCATGCTGCAAGAAGACTAGATTCAATCTGAATAGGACCAGCTCAGCGGCTAAGAGAGGAAGGAGAGCGATGGATTAAGTTAGGGAACATCCATCTGTAACAAAAAACAACAACCATAAAATAATAGAGAATTCAGACAAAGCTCTGTGAGAATGTCGAATACGTCGCTCAGGTTCTTAAATATGAATAAGAAAATTGTACACAGGCAATCAGGGCACGTCATTTTGGGCTTGAATTAATCCAGTATATTTTTGTATGACATACTGTGTAAAGTTTTCCCGCGTAACCGACGATCAATTCCACTCGTTCCCTTCGCAATAGGCATTGCTGTTTCATAAAACGTAACACGTCACTGTTATATAATTATTAATGCGTAACGCAGCACCGACAGACAAGTCCGATCCCTCGCACATTCAGATTTCTCAAACTAACTAAGCTATCGGCACGGATAAATGCCCCAAGTGGTCTGAGCACACGTGTCGTGTTGTGCCCTTGTCCTTGAGGCACTTTGTTGATGCATTCTGCAGCTTTGTGGACAGTTCTGATGACACTACCGTATGTTCTCCACCAACTCTGGTTTTGAGTCTTTCAGATGGAGCCGTTTGAGCAGCATGACAGCCTGGCCTCGCTTTAAACACACAGAAAAAGTGATTGAAGTCAAACAGGCAGAAACTCAAAGGCTGCTGGTGAGAATTTGTGTGTCTGACTGGGAAACCGAGGAAGCTTTCAATTAAGGTTTTTCATTAAAAATTGTATTTTTAGAAAATACTGTGTGTACTCGAAGTTTAAATTTAAATTCTTCTTTAAAATAAGCCACTAAGTGAGTCATCACAACTGGTGTACAGAGGTACAATTATCTTCGTTGGATCACAATTAAACACCTTCCATTTGCTTCCAGAATACATGGTGAAAAGTTGCAACTGAAAGGGCATAAATATAGATGAATCTCCTCAGAAGGGATCCTTCAGCTAAATAATGTGAGCTTGTCAAACTTTACTTCACTTCAAAAATGAAAATGAGTGATTCACCACTCTTTCCAAAGCTCATTCAATTGGAATTGAGGAGCCTCAAAACCAGATTACAGAAAAATTATCGCAGTGTCACCCAAAAACTCCTTCGTACGAGTAGGCGGTAAAAACCCAGTACAGTGTGTTACAAGTGGCATAAACGCAGGGAAGAAAGTGCTGTGATGGGGGGTTTTTCCCCTCATGTATTGCGAATTACAATTTGTTACCTGATATGCAGGTAATTTGGAAAACAGAAAGAAAAAAGCAGCAGTTCAAAGCTACTTTGCCAGAGTCTCCTTTCTCAGTTTCCCTTTAAGGCATTCTGAAGAGGCTGTTCCACTGATAACAGCCCTGTTTGCACAGTGGAAAGCTCACTACACCCTATCAAGATGCCTCACTGCAATACAACGCGCATCATAACGTCCCAGGCGGACGGCACGGACTTTGCAACGGATTAAGAAAAAAGGGTACAACTTTTATTCCCCCATAACCCAAGCAAGGGATAATATAAAGTTATTTCTCAGATATTTCTATTAAGACCGTACGCAAAACAGTACAATAGAAAAGTATCAGTCACACATTAGCGACACTGCATCGCCCTCCACTGAGCCAGTGAGACTTGGGGGGAAAATACTGCACGTTAGGTAAGGAGACTGAAACGATAAGGGAGTTGAAACAAATGAATGTGGCGTTGCGCGCCTTCCTGCAGTCGCAGAGGACCAATTACAGCGACGGATAATCAGTAACCTTTAGCAGTGTCAAAATGAGGTCGATTCCGAGAGGTAAACATGGAGCGCCACTGCTCATTGGAGCAAAACGCTGCCACGGTTGTCTGCTGGCCTGGTCAACTGTAAACTGATAGCAGAGGGACTGATTCCATCTCACATTAAATGGTGGACCGTAAATACCATTAGCAAAGCACAAAAGCGTTTTGGTGCACCCTCCCGCGTTGGATGGTAGAGATACAACATGCACGGTACAGAGGAGAGTGAGTTTAATGGGCAATTCTCCACAGATGGCACATGGGACGACACAAACAACTCAAGTGTCATAAAAACGGCGTCGGGTGACTGTAGATTGAGCCTTACTTTGCAATTGACCTATAAAGGGATTACTTACATGTAATTATGAACAGGAGGAATTAGTACAGTGAACAATTCCTCTTCTGTTGTGTTTCAATACAGACGAGTAGATTTCATTCTAAATATTTCACCTTCTGTGAAACACCGTAACAGCAGCATTTTGCGATTTTATTGTTGACATCGCCGCCTGTTCAACTGACCTGGCGTGCACTCGCTAACAACTGTAAATAATTATTTCATAACTGCTTTATTTTAACTACCACTGGAAACAAATTACAGTCTTTTCTAGAACCGTTCCTGTGAATTTAGACTTGCATATACTAATAAAGTGTTACCAAAAAAATGTCGATGAGCGAACATTCATGAATTAATTAATTCACAGACAATGCCATGAGGGGGGCATTCTTTATACTATGGTGCAATGAAAACATTTTAATTGTATTGCACTTATGTGAAATGTCTTTGGCTGCTCCGGTGTGAGGTTGTTGTTGCCGAGCAGCACGGGCGTACCGATGTGGACACCACGTGATCATGACTAACTGTGATGGAGCAGATTACTGAACGACTCAAAGAGACCAGAGCTGAAAAAATAAAAGACTATTAAAGAGACTAAAGAGACAGTTGAGCTGAAGATACTGCAAGTGATTTAGTGTGTGTGTGTGTGTGTGTGTGTGTGAGTACACACACCCTGCAAAAGGAAGAAAATACAACACGCAGACACACACACACACACACACACACACACCAAAACCCTATATATGTCTTCTCTCCATTCTCAGAGATACTGTCATTTGGAACCGGCTAAATATCTTTACACAATTGCGAGTGTACTAATGTTCGGTAGTCATTAATCAGCCTGTATTGTGGATGAAGAATGGAGTTCTTCCAGGCCTGTGTTTAGCAGAGATCGCCCACTTGCAAACACAGAATTGAACATTTATTAAATGACTGAGGCAAAAGACAAAAGAAAACCACAGTTGGAGGAAAAAGGGAAATACTATCTATGAGCTATTGTCCATTGTGTTGTTTCTTTTTGACATTACCTCATCTTTGACAGTTAAACACCCGATTCCGGGCAGACAGCCTTACCTGACCGACTGGTGAGTCAAGTCAAGTCACGTCGTGTTTTTCTGTGAGAACCCGACAACAAACCACAGAACGTTTGAGACTGAGCTCAAGCTCCCTACGGGGACAGACAGGAGGACACAGACAAAACAGAAATAATGGAAAGGAGCTCTCAAGTGTAAATTCAAAAAGAGATGCCCTTTCTCAGATGGCTGAGGGTGCGATAGGAAAAATGCCAATTACAAAAAGGAGCGGAAAGAGTGAGACACTCGCTCAAACTTTGACAGCAAGTCGTCTCAAACACTTGTGACCAAGATGCCTCCGGGCACCTGTGTGACCGTTAGTCACAGATTTATTCATGGGCAGGTTTAGATACCGCCGGTAAGACAAAGAAGAAAACAGATTCTGATCTCTCCGTGTCACACTTTTATGCACACACACACACACACACACACACACACACACACACACACACACACAAAGAGGAGTGTTGCATCACGTCATCTTTCTCAGGATCAGTGGCGTTTTTTTTTGTTTTCAATCGGTTTCAACTTGATTTTGGCCTCAACTGTGTCGTCAAACATTATTGAATTAAAAGAAAAAGAAAGGAAAAACGAACCGACCGCGGTGGGTATTCCAAACCTCCCGTGTGTCACAACGTGTTAGCAGCGCCCTGCAGTTTTTAACTGCTACGCAGCCAAACAGCTTCGCATCTAGATTGTCTGAGTGCGGATGAGGAAGCGGCCGGCCGAGACACACACACACACACACACACACACACACACACACACACACACACACACACAGAAGATAAGAAGGAAAAGATAACTCAAACATTATTCTCTTTGAACGTTGACAGGCAGTCCACTGTGTTGGAGTTTTCAGCTCAGAGCATTTCAAAGCAACATTGTAATTGTGTGGAAAGATAAAACGCGCATTGCTTTTGCCTTTTTTCCTCCCTCCGCGCAGCTCGGCGGTCGGGTGGAGTCTTTGCTTTGGTGAGACGTAAAAAAAAAAGAAAAGAGGGGGGCTTTTCGGGCGAGTCTGCCGATGTTGTCTTTTTCTCTCTCTAGTGTAAAATTGCAAAGTCGTTCATCGGCGTACGCTCCTCTCCTATCGCAGAGTGAGGAGATGAGCATGGGAATTTGAACGAGTGATGAGAGGGGAGTAGGATTCATTCCAACAATAGTCACTGTCAACTGAGCAACTGTCACTACATAATGGGAATTCTGTGGGAATTTTGCTACGGTCACAGGTACCTCAAAAGGTCTTTAATATAAACATCTTTAAATATCACTTTGACATAAAGAATGCTTTGTCTTTTAGTGGCCGCTTCACACACATCTCATTTCCATTTTCATAACTCCTTTGACTTCAATATTAGTTGCATTGTGAATAATGATTTATTGAGATCATCTGTCTTGCATTTTGTCAAAGCCAGCACAGGACTTATGAATGTATAAAATATTCTTACCTTGCCAACAACAACAACAACAACAACCGCTCTCCTTTGACTGTTGATGTCTGGATCTCTTGCAAACACAAAGCCCCTGAAAAGAAAAAAGTTGCATGTTTCGATGAGGTTTTCTATGCAGCATATACTTTGTCCATAATAGATCACTCTCGGGTAAATGTCTTTGCCGCACATAAGGCTTGCATATCATTTATTTGTGACATGTAGTTAGAACCAATGCAGCTTCATGCTTCCAACTTCATGCCTTCTTTACGTTTATTGAACCTGTAGATTCACGTGCTGTTGAACTGAATTGTTTTCTACGAAGACGTGTTCCCAATATTTTGTCCAGCCCTATTAATTGTGAGTAAAGAGTCTTGTAAAAAGACCAAAAAATACACCCTGAAAAATAGATTTTAAATATCAAAAGCAAAAACGTTCAGTTCAGAATACATTTTAGTAGAATAGTTTTTTTATTTTTTTAAATATATATGTTGTTCCTGCTAGCTTGTTAGCTTGAGACCGTTTCCCCGCAGACCATCTCTCTGGTTAACAGGAGGGGGGCATCACATGGGTTTAGAGGAGAGAGTGACTAAGGCTAAGTGCCACTTTGGGTTTCAGGTCCACAGCGTGCAACAATGACACAAATAGCTTCCTACACCCACTACATGCAAGTGTGACCATATTGGTACCGTTTCATACAGGGAAAAAAGCTAAAAAAAACATTAGTTACCATGTGCAACAATAAAAAGAATCATGGTCTACAACATTGTGTGCATGACTGCTAATTCTGCTAAAGAAAGTAGTTTAATCAGAGCCACAAACCATCTACACAGCAAGACAACGATGCCAACTAAGGTATCCTCTCCTCTGTAAGCCCATGATGCAATGGGTACTGTTCTGCAGTCATTATGCATGTACATCCCTTGAAGGTGATGTGCACATGCAAAATGGAATGCAATCAATATTAATGAAATACATATATAACTGCACACGCAGCAGTTGAGACTGAACCCTGCATTACCTGCATGGATGTTACAATGCTGGACATTTGTAAAGGGTTTTGTTATTTGTATAATATTGAGAGGTCCTCATGTTATTACCAATGGCGCTTCTCAATCCTAATTAGATGACATTTGAAAGTGCTGCTGATCCAAACACAACCATAACCACCGTGGCTCCACACCAGTCACACGAGAGGAATACAAGTGGTGTGAGCATCGAGGAATCAGGTCCATTCAGACAGTCCTCGTGCTGGTGCAGGTCTTAGTGACGGGTTGATTTATTATTTACGGCAAGCAGGGAGGATTTTGGAAGGGTGGAGGGGGTTGGTTCGTCTGTAGTGAAACAGTGAAAACCATCACCATCATTTAAAGATCTTTGAGTTGTCGCTTTTTATTAACAAATCCACTTGGGGGCCGCAGCATGTCCTCATTGATCTGCCCAATAACACTGCCAACACGGATAGCTATGCAGTTGTGCTGCTCTGGTTAATTTCAGCATTAACTGGTAAGGGTTAGATGAGGGAAAAAAACAAAACAAGAAGGTCCCACTAGTTACTGTGAGGTTGTCTTTGATCCCAACGGCATTAAATATTTTTGGTCTCTGCAGCCCACTACTTACAGTACAACGAGGGTGCACGAGGTGCAGATTCATTAATGGGGTCGGACATTGTGCCGCAGACGTCATTCTGTGGAGCAAACACCATTTAATAATAAGCACAATTAGTTCGGGCTCACTACCCGCCTATGAAACAGGCAGTGGACTGTTGAGGCGCAACGAAAGGTCAAAACATTCCGGTGGCACAAAAAAATCAATCTAAAAAGAAATCAGTGGACATAAAACCACTTTGCCAAAAACATACGCCCTGACTTTGATGGGATGTATACATAATTGGTCAGATTTAGCCCAGTAGAGGGTTGACACAAGGTCCTGGCCATACTGCAACAGTGTGTATAGAATATCTTCTGTATGTATAATGTTTCATTTAGCTTATGTGGATTGATGTATTTTGTTACTGCTTATTTATAATTGTGTGATCCTTATTTTACTATGTCGCTGCATGCACTTTACCTTCGCTGCTGTAATCCAGGAATGTCCTGCTATGGAACAAATAAAAGATTTATCTACATTATGTTTTGTTTTCCTCATGCTAAGTCATGCTCAGCAACTACTACTGACGACAACCATTGGGGAAGTTGGATGATATTTAAATATGACGATATCCCAGTTATATTAACTGCAACAACCTAAACCTAAACTCAACCCAAGAGGGACACAAAAGAAGGGGCCATCTATGAAAAAAACTCTTTGAATGTCCTGAAAAGTTACCATTTCTTTCCCTGAAACACCTCGACAGTTGCTGACATTTAATGCATTTATGCATGCTGTCACACTGTTCACTCTCGGGTGTCTTCATAGAACAATAAATAAGTAAACAGCAGAGAATACTCACACACACAGACTAGAAGCACTAGGGCTCCTCGGACACTTTCTGCATGGCGCGTGTGCTGCACTTGACATTCAGTATTGGAATGATAGAGAAAACAACAGCTACAATTTAACAAAGGCGTGTGTTCTGCCAGCGTATGTGATATAAAACTAGCAAATTAAACTAAGGAAGGGAATAACTTCAACGTCACGTTTGTGACACGCGGTGCTCAGAAGAAGCCGACCACTCGGGGGCAAGTTGTCAGCTGTCAGGACGGCAGCTGAGCAGGCATACAAGTAGCTTTAGGGAATCCTCTGAATTAGGATTAGGATGTTTTGTGCATTAATAGTAAGCAGTTTAACGTTTAGGAGAGTTGTTCCTCTCACACCTACCCACAATTTGGACAAAACATAACCAATCGATCAGTCTTCACGCATGTAATGTATAATTACTTTCAAACAGAGTAAATGTCTGTACAATAGTAACGCACGCCTGGCAAGCGGCTCTGTCAGCTGTACTCAAAGACAGCCGCTCGGTCCTCTGCGGGAGCCACCTCCGCACCGGCACCGAGAGCCCTCTAATCTGTGCCAATCAGATGACGCCAAACAGCCATTTGATGTTGAATGGGGCTCCAGCACACGCCCCCTCCTCATTCCAACAGCCACTGCAGACCCCGGCGAAACGCTGGCAACGTAGCAAACGCAGGCACAGCAGCAGCGATGGTGACAGAAATAGCAGAGTGGTGAATAATAATAAGACAAAGGGAACTGTGGTGCAATTAATGTGGTGGCTCAGGCCTGTGGGGACAGAAAGAAAGGGAAGGGAGGAGAGGATGGGGAAGAGATATCAGAGATTGGGATCTATAATAAAGGGACACTTTCAGAAGAAAGAAAACAGCAAAGAGGAAGTGAGAGGGAAAACTAAACTTTCGTCCTGCCGTCGAAACATCTGCCGAGTAAATACAATCCCAGCAGCAGACCAATGCATCTTACAGTTCCATCTCACTGGCTTTGTTTCAAGTGTGTGACGCAAAGCTCACTTGTAACTGCCAACTACAGGGTGCAATTTCATTCCCCGGAAAGCAGGAGATGAGGATGCCACATTATCCATTGCCTCATGGAACAGGTGACTTCTTAAGCCACAGATTACAGCCGTCAGGAAGGAGCTGCAGATTTCCAAAATGGCGCAGCGCTGCGTGGGCTGGAACAGCAATGCAGCGAGGAGACGAGCGAGTGGGACCGAGGGGAGAAAGCAGCTCACTCTTGTGCATGCGTAGCTCGTGCGCAAGAAGAGCGAGACTGACAGAAAGATGGTGGGTTGTGGAGTGACACGAGAGAAATAGAAGTATGAATGAGGTCACAGAGAGATAGCACAGCTTGTGTACATAACAATAATAATAATGGATGATCTTGGGTTACTACGTCTTGAGCCACGAGGTATTTGTCAGAGGATACGCGCTGAAGAAGTGGAGAGCTGAATAAGCTAATGAATAAGCTAATCTAAAGCAGGGGAACCCCGTTCCCTCCCGCAGAGCCCTTTGCTTTGGCCGAGGAAGCAGTTTCACAATCCAACAGGAAACGCATCTCATGCACTTCCTGCTTCCCGTGAGGAAGCGGCGGGTCAGATGGGGCTGAGCGAGTCACGCTCGTGACTGAAGTCAAAAGGGAAATTCAAGAAGAAAAGAGAAAGAAAAGAAAAACTAAAACTGGTTTGGGTGTGTTGACACGACTCTGCTTCCACAGAAACAACCTGCAGCTTCCACTATTCACACATTATACTAGTGCAACAGGCTAATGTGTCTCCGTACAAGTGTCTTCTCATACTAACAGATGGGTTTTATTCCTGCTGGATGTTGTTACTGTAAACAGTTAGCTGCTCATATTGTGTGAATAAAAGATATATTTCTTAAAAGACACAGCATTTAGACTTTGCTACACTTTTGAAGAAGCTATGAATCAATCCATCAGACTCCAATTAGTCCCGGATGTCACACACCTGCCTTCTATTTTATAGCACTGAGGGACATCTGTGAGACGACATTATAGATAAAACATAGAAGGAGAAAAACATTAAGACTGGGTTTACCTCCTCGGCTGGTTTTACTGCCACACAAACCAGTTTGATTGTAATAACTGGAGCTCTGCCAAAAGCACAAAACAAAACTGCCCAAAGTTGTTTTTCTTCAACGTTTCCTCTATTTCTTCTTCTTTTTGTGCTCAGCTCTCACCAGTTACAGAAATAATTATGTCTTACATCTTTAAACACCACAACAGGGTTTTCCCTAGAGAATGTGAATGTGACTTTTGTCCTCCACTACTTCAAACCCATTTAGGCTTGAAAAGCAAACGTCATTTGTTGAAGAATTGTTGCTGAAATTAATAAAACACAACATGTTCCATCTAGGGACTAATTAGGCACTCTTAAGGTACCGTCCATGAGAATGAAAATCCGTAATGTGGAATAAATGATGAAAGAAAACGTGTTAACAGTAAGCCAAAAATTGTATAGCAAAGATAGCGGTGAGTCAACAAGACAAACCCCCTTTACTGAAATTGACACTGGACATCGTCCAAGCCGTACTCCGTGCTAATAGACGTGGTGGTAGAGACTAAATTGAAGTTCCCGAGACTCCTGCTGCCTGTTAGGCAGATTTTTGTCATATCATA